AAAAAAAAAAAAAAAAAAAAAGAAGTGTATTACACTACCAAAAAAGGCAGGAGGGGATTTCTGCATAGCTGACACCAGGTTTCTAGATTAAAAAAATGTAGCAGAAGCAGCTTCTTTTTTTGGTGTAGTATGGCTATATGAGAGCTTTTACCAGCAGCAGTAAAAATTCTTTTTTCCAACTAGCACATCCCTTACCCACACAGCACTGGCAAAAGCCCTTGTGTGTATCTTACACTACCAAAAAAGGCAGGAGGGGATTTCTGCATAGCTGACACCAGGTTTCTAGATTAAAAAAATGTAGCAGAAGCAGCTTCTTTTTTTGGTGTAGTATGGCTATATGAGAGCTTTTACCAGCAGCAGTAAAAATTCTTTTTTCCAACTAGCACATCCCTTACCCACACAGCACTGGCAAAAGCCCTTGTGTGTATCTGACCCATTACTACATCCCTCTAGCCCTGGTAATGTCCATGACCAGAAGTCTCTAGAGCGGGCCCCCTCCCAGAATTTGGAGGTTTCATCTCAGTTGCCATATGCTGGATTAAAAGCTACCATAAAAAAAAAAAAACCCACAACCTAAAAAACCCCAAAACAACCTAAAACATAAACCCCATTATTAGTCTGTCTCAGTTGACCCTCTGCCTCTTCTCTTCCATGGCCACTGCACTGAAAATTTTATGCAAGATGACCATAACAAGGATGAAGAGGGTAAAGAAACTGATAGCCCATTATGAACATGGAGATTTCTCTTTGAAGCATGTCTCATATGGAAGCTGTAAGCAATAAGACATGACAGTCATTGCATTCCTGGGCCATTACTGCACACCTCAGGTGGCGTTACAGGGCTTGAGGAGCGATAACTCCTCAAAACACGCAGCCTGGAGTGCCCTACTGCTCTTGTGAAATGGCATTTACAAGTAAAGCATAAAGAAAACAGCTGATGCACAGACTGGGAAGCCACGAGCACAGATGTAGTGCTGCTCGCGGAAAGCCAGCAGGCCGCCTTTATGAGCCATGCGTGCAGTCTCCCCCTTAAACCAAGTACCACTTTAGCGTCCTCTGTAGTGAATTAACACGGGCAAGGAGAAAACCTTTGAGCTGGAGTATCTGTGATTGCACTCAGTAGCTCTGTGCCTACAGGAACCGTGGGCAAGGAGCCTGGCGACCCCGCCACCCCCTATCCCCTCTTTAGCAATGATATGCACAGCACATCCCAGTGATCCCCACCACGTCAGCTGGCTCTGCCTTTGCTGGGGAGTCACCGTAGGACGCTTCTGACCCAACAACTCTACTATCGTATGCACAAGCATGATCACACACATTCAGGATACACACTAAAAATCTCTTGCATTGAAAAAAATGGTTTTGTTTCCTTCCCCTGTATATTATACAGCCTCCTGTGCAACATTTAACAAGGGACATCATAAATGATTTTTGAAAACACAACACCATTTATCACTGCCTCTCCAAAGAAAACTATGAAAATGCTAATTGATTTTATAATTTGCATATTTGATTTTCCTTAAAGATGAGATAAAGTAGGCTTAAGAAAAAGCAGCAGAGCTTCAAAAATATTTACTGTGACAAGCAGCAGATCAGGAGGCAAATCCCTGCTGTTGCATCCTGCCTGTCCCACTCCGGCTCAGCGGGTGCCTGTGCCTTGCTGCTGGTCACAGCAACCCTTATGCAGGGTTAGGGCACA